GGCATGTGGAGGCCACACACACTACTGAGCCTCGTTTTGACTTGTTTTAAGGACATTACATCAAAGTTGGGTCAGCCTGTAGTGGTTTTTTTTCACCTTAATTTTGAGTCTAACTCCAAATCCAGACCTCCATGGGTTGCTAAATTTGATTTCCATTAATAATTTTTGTGTGATTTTGTTGTCAGCACATTCAACTATGTAATGAACAAAGTATTTAATAAGAATATTTCATTCATTCAGATCTAGGTTGTCTTATTTTTGTGTTCCCTTTATTTTTTTGAGCAGTGTAGTTAGGTTTGGCAATCCATTGAACTGAGTATAGAAAAGGCTGCAATCTTATGCATACTTATTTTTTTCAATAGGACTTTTACCGTATGCTTAAAGTGTAGATGAGTTATAGTCATTTATTTACTGATTCGAATGTTTTGTTAGATCTCACATTTCTGCATATGAAGACTAGTTTCTGCACATGGAATATTTTTGTATGCTTTATGTTAGAAAAATATAGATTCCACATTTCCCCCCCCCCCCCCGGTTCATGTCTTCCTATACACCTTTTCATACGCTTGTCCATATCTTTGAGGAAGAGAATATAACTTGTTTTTTCTTGGTTACTTGGGTTCAAGCCATTGTGCCATGGGAGGACTATCAATATAACATCTCTTAATAGTCTGTAGAATCTCCATCTAAATATAAATTGTAGAAAGTCATATTAAAAAAAAATTAATAACTTGTATTCTCTATTGAAAAATTGGAGAGGACACCAGTATTTTTTGAAATATTTGGCAATGAAATTACTGAAATTTCATGAATTTTTGGCTATTTTTAAAATATAGTTTTAGCTTTAGTGCCTATAAGCCAACTTTTTAAAAAAATACTTGCCAGTATGCCACAGTTTTGTTCTGAAACAGATAAAATAATCTCTAGGTTTTTCATGCAATGATGATTGGAATACTAAAAATTGTTACTAAATGCTATAATTATAGGAACTTGACTTTTAATAGTTAGAAACTAGGTTCTTAGTTTTTATCAATATTTATCATACTAAATTTTCCAGATATCTGTACTGAAGGGTATTTAACTTTTTGATGTCATAAAATGTTTATCTGGAGAATGATTTGATTAAATCTATTTTCTGAGTTAATTTTAAGCAGGTTAAATATAATAAGCATGCTCAACTGCATCAATATCTTGCTCTTATTAGAGCAGAGTGTAGCTGGTTGGATGTAACTAATGCTTGTACATCATTCTTTTAAATGCTCTATTGAAGAGACTTTGTTGCTTGCAATATGAAACCCTGCATTGGGTTGGCTTTTAAAAGCTAAAATTTCTTTACATGTAAATGATTTCCACACAGAAAACATTGGAAAAAAAAGAGAATAATATCCTTTACAAATGGTGGCTTAAATTATAAAGAAAAGGGTCATTTTATAGCACTTTAGAGCAGGGGGTCCCCAGCCTCTGGACCACAGTTTACTACCGGGCTATGGCCTATTTTCAGTCAGACTGTGCAAGTGGCAAGCAGGTACGTGTGCACAGCCCACCGTTCTCACAGTCCGGTTCTCCTGCCCCACCTTCACCAGGCTGTCAAGTGACAAAGGTTGAGGACTGCTACTTTAGAGTGACAAAAAAGTAATGTGGCAATATAAAATAAGCAATAGAATTTGATGTGAATATTTATTGTCTTTTTCTTTGTTTTGTTTATAGCAAGCTTGAGATGTATCTGAAGATTGAAGTTTTCAAATATACAGCCAGTACTGATTTAACTGTCTCATTGAGTCTTGGTAAGTTGTCTTTATTAAGTTATCATTATCAGGAATGAAGCATATGGAATGAAGTGTTCCACAAAAAATAGTTCATGTTGTGTTTTCATTCTCATCTAGGTTTTTTTATGTTGAAAAGAGGTTTCATATAGTCACATAATAAAAAGACTTATTAACTAAGTCAAATTGAAAAGCAGGCCTTGAAACAGATTTCCTACCACATGTTTGGACTCTCCCACTTAGGAATCCTTTTGATTCATGCCTGGAGTCCTTGGGACTGGCCATCTTTCCTCACCTTGTAGAGCCTGAAGTGGAGATATCCAGTCTTGAGGCCCTAATGATGGAGTACCTGGCTCCATTATCTTTCTCTTACCACTCTTGCCAAAGAAAGTTCCTATCAGTTTTTTTCTGTAGTGGAAGCTCTAAGAAGGAACGCTAAAACAGAATCCAAAGCAAAATATTGCAATTATTTTGTTTTGGCTTTAGTAAAAAATCCTGCTGTTGCTTTGCAAAGCAGGTGTAAAAGTTAGTTCTTACACATTCCTTAATATGAAATCAAATCTGACCATTGCAAAACAAGGGACAGATGAAAACCAACCTTTTCACACAAGAGAGGAGATGGGTAGCCTATTTCATAGAGTTTGCTCTTGAAACATAGCAATCATTAGATATATTTCATTATGGCTTTGAGTCTTTTTTTCAGTACAAGTAACTTATCAGAAAGTCTTATATCATGTGAGCTTGGCTAATTGGTTCCAGTCCTGCCTGTTGGACTGGAAGTCTGACAACAGCATCAAGGTATGCTTTGTTGGCAGCTTTGTTGAAGTGAGGCACTTTTTTAAAAAGCTTGCATTAGCTTCCTCAAAGTTGTATTTTGAGTTTATGTAATTACACCTTATTGTGAAAGTTTTACAATTTCAGTTTCATTTCAGACCTTTTAAAAAAATTGTAAATCTTTAAAACTCTGCAGGCAGACAATGAAATGAATAAAAAAAGTATCACCCTGTTTTCAAAGATAATGCCCTTGTCTTGGGGTTATATCTGATGGATTAAGAGTAATCCATCAGAAGAGTTTCTGATGGCTCAATCAACATTCTACCCCTGACAAAATCAGGGGTAGAATGCTACCGGTTCTGACCGGTTCACTAGAACCAGTAGCAAAAAATGCTAAGGTTTGCTGGAACTGGCAGGAAAAAAATGCTTTAAAAAGTGTAATAAAGTGGGTCCGACAATTGCACGGCTCACAGCTGATCTGCACGATTATCAGAATCTCTCCCCCGCCCCCCCACTTTAAAGCATTTTTTTTCTATCTATTCACTCGAACCGGCAGAAAAAATTGTTGGGGAAAAGCTGGCCATGCCCACCCAGTCACATGACACCCCCCCCCATCAAGCCAAACTCACAGAACCAGTAGCAAAAAAAATTAGATTTCACCACTGAACAAAATATAGAAGAAACAATAAACAGTAACTATTTAAATATAAATATAGTCAGATTATTTTTGTTTACATTTGCACAATTTCCCTTTATATAAATTTATGTGGCTTTAGAGAGAATGACTTGGTTTAGTTACAAATAGATTACTGCCTGTCTAACTAGAGGTCAATGTCTACCACCAGCATGCCTGGAATAGAATTTACTATCACTTTTCCAAACTATTGTTTTTACCAGCTCCACTTGAAAACAAGGTAAGATTCATGCAGGCTTGTGGCTGAACAAAAAGTTTCAGAGGAGTAGTAGCATAGGCATATAGGAATTGTTTGTCCTTTTCACAATTACTATAATCTTTTTTAGGTTATTGTGTTATGATTTTGTCTTGTCAAAACACAGTGCTTCCCACTGCTTTCTCATCCCATCAGTGATTTTTTTCCCCTTCCAGTTGCTTCCCTAGGTTAGTCTTTCTTCTTCTTCTTCTTCTTCTTCTTCTAATGGGTCCTATTGTTACTCAGCCTTTATATTTGAACCATCATCATCTTTCCATCAAATGTAAACATGATTAGCTATGATATATAAAGCATAGTATAAAGCACCGGACGGATGAGTCTTATGTTTTGCCTGTGTCCCATTATTTTTGAATCTGAAAGTAGTATTAAAAGCAGTGTGTAAAAAAAAAAATCAGAAATTTTCTGTTATTTAAAGTATTCAAACTCTTGCACCATCTAAAGTAGATATTTAAAGCCTACACTTTTTTGTCTTAGGATTTTTAGAAAGTGAACTTTAATTTTATGAATAATAACAGTGTTTTTCAAGTTTTTGATATACAGGATTCTGATTGTTGTTGCTTATTTTCTACTGTATGGTATTATATTACCTGGAAGAGTGGGTGAAAACAAAAACTGGCAATCATCTCTACCATCTCCAAATGACTAGATGAAGGCAGATTTGTCTCCAGTGTCTGAATGAAGATAGTGAAAGAGCTACCCAAGTGACTGCTTGACAGTAACTGGTGCTAATTAAATACAGAGTCAGATAATGACACTGATTCTGGATGAAAGCCAGATTTTCTTTGGCTTTCAGAAAACTTAATTTTCTAGCTCTGTTTATCTGTTAGCTTGGTGTGATATTGCAGCTGAGTTGGAATTCATAGTGAAAACAATGAGTATCTTCTTTATGAAATTAGTTAATTTAATATTTATGCATTTGACAATGTATTGAGCAGAGTTGTTGATATTTTTAATTAATGATGTATCATTGTGCTCCAGTCCATCCCAATATTTCTTCTACACTGCTTGTTAATAGTTTGATTAGAAATCATCAGTTGAGATTATGCTATGTTCATATACAAAAGTACTTTATTTGCTCTGAAATGCTTATGGGTTTGTATACTGTCTAATGTTTGCGAATCGACACGTTCTATTACTTCTGTGCAACTGTAATCCCAAGATTAAGTCTCCAGGTTTGTGGTTTGCACTGCTGAAAAAATTTACTTGTGTAAGAATTGCACCACAAATGTAACACAAAGCATTACAGGTAATCATTAACATACAGCCACAATTGAGCCCAGAATTTTGGTTGTACAGCGTTGCAATTGTAAGTCAAGTCACCAGGTGACTGGATTTGATTTTATGACCATATTTACAATGTTATTAAGAAAGTCATTGTGGTCATTAAGTAAGTCACTTGGTCATTAAAGAATTCACATGGTGGTAACTCCAAATCCAGTTCATCTAATGGAAAAAACAGCAAAAGGTTGCAAAACGTGATTGTGGGATGCTATAATCAGTAGGGATGATGAAGTAACTTCAAGGACAGGTGTAAGTAATGTTTTCAAGTCTGTCATAACTTCTAATAGTTATGTGACTAGCTGTACGTTAAGGACTACCTGTATGAAACATCTGCTATTCAGCTTTATGTCATGTATTTGAGGTATGCTTGTTCCAGTAAACTCAGTATTGTATTGGTAGCAATACAAGTTGCTGAAAAGGTTTTAGTTTTGTATATATTTTGCTTAATATTTGTATTTGTGAGGATATGTTGTGAATTCCAGAAGAACATATAGTAGATATAGAAAGTCTGCCCACACTTATTAAAATGCCAGTTTTTTTGAGATGTAAAAAAATCAGATCAAGGTAAATCACTTCAGGATTCTTTCGACCTTCAATATAATGTATAAATTACAGTTTAATTGAAAAAGAAGCTGAAATCTTTTAGGGGGAAAACATAATAAAAAATCTGAATAATATGGCTGCATAATGTTCACACCCTCTTATAAGTGGGGATATGGCTATGTTCAGTTTTAACCAGTCATATTAAAATTGATGCTAAATAGTCAGTACACAGCTGCCATCAATTAAAGTGACTCTAATTAAGCCCATATGAATTTCAACTGTTCCAGAAGGGTGTTTTTTTTTTGTTTGCATTTACTCAGTTGCCTCTTACAGCAAAGTCCATCTTCTGTAAAGAGCTTACAAAGCATCAAAGGGATCTTGTTGTAAGATACCAGTCAGGAGAAGATACAAAAAATGCTCCAAGGCATTGGATATACCATGGAACATAGTGAAGACAGTCGTCACTAAGTGGAGAAAATATGGCACAACAGTGATACTAGCAAGAATTGGATATGCCTTCAAAATCGATTTTTAAAAAACGAAGAAGAAAACTGGTCCAAGAGGCCTACAGCAACCTAAAGGAGTACTGGTTGTGTATTACATGCGACAACAATCTCCTGTATCGTTCATATGACTGGGCCATGGGATGTCAATAAGGAAGCATTTTCTAACTAAGAAAATACCCAAGCCCAGCTACATTTTGCAAATGCTTATATCAAGTCTGACATAAGCATATGGGAAAATGTGTTTCAATCGGATGAGCCCAAGGTTGAACTTTTTCGACATAATTCCAAAAAGTATGTTTGGCCCATTAAACGGCATTCTGCATCACCAGAAGTATTCCATATCCACAGTGAAGCATGGTGGTGGCAGCATTATGCTTTGGGACTGCTTTTCTTCAGCTAGAAAGCGCTTTAACTTTTAGTCAAGGGTAGAAGGAATTATGAACAGTCCAAATATCATTCAATTTTGGCACAAAAGTTGCTAAAATGCTGAAGATGAAGAGAAATTTCAATTTCAACATGACAAAAACTCAAACCATACCTCAAAAAAAAAAAAAAAAAAAAAAAAACCCAAACGAATGCCCTCACTAGAAGATGATCAAAGTTTTGGAATGACCTAGCCAGAGCCCAGACTTGAATCCATCTGAAAATCTCGGATGGACTGAAGAAGACTGTGCACAGGAGATGTCCTTGCAATCTAACAGTTTTGAAGTGGTTTTGAAAGGAAATGTGTCATGCTGATAAGGCTTCTACCCCAAAAGACTGAATACTATCATAAAATCAATATGTGCTTCAAGAAAGTATTACCGTGTTTTTCAGTGTATAAGATGGACTTCCCCCAAAAGTGGGTGGAAATGCCTGTGTTTTATACAGCGAATGTTGTATGAAGTAGGTAGGTAGATAGAATGAAGTCCCATCTACCCACTGGCCCCCACCCTTCATCCTCTGCCTCCTAGCAATGTGCCTCCTT